GGGCTGCGTCGGCCAACGGGGAGGGGTCGGCGCCCGCTGCCCCGCGCCCCCGCCGCCCTGCCGCGGCCCGTCGAAGCCCAACGGGGGGGGTGGGTGCCCCTGCTTCAGCCTTGCCCCTGAGGAGGAGAACTCTCCGCCGCCTCGTGCGCTCGCCACTCGTGCCACGAGCAGGCCCAGGTCCGCGAAGCTCCCAGCATGGAGCAAGGAGTGCGCGGCAGCGAAGCGGTGCGCCACGTCTCGGCCCCTCGCTGGACGGCAAGCCCTCCTTCCGGGGCGTTCTCAGTCGCGAAGCTCAATTCTTCACGGGGGGGAGGGCTGTCCCCCCCGCACCGCTGGCGCCAAGCCGTGTGGCGAGCGGGGCCCCTCGCGGCCTGGCGCCCCGAGGGCCGCGTGACCACCGCTCCCGCGGGACGGGCGCGCCGCGAGCTCCGCTGGGCTTCAACTTTCGCTCGGAGAAGTGGAGCGCGCGGGCAGATCTGGTAGCGAGCACGATGAGCTGGCGGACGCGATGAGGATGATGATGAGAGTGAGGATGGGAGGAGGAGGAGGAGGAGGAGGAGGAGGAGGAGGAGGAGGAGGAGGAGGAGGAGGAGGAGGAGGGGGAGGAGGGAGGAGGAGGAGGAGCATGATGAGTCTGATAGTGCCGATGGTGATGATGATGGTGATCAGCTTGATGCTGATGATGATGAGGAGGAGGATGGAGGACAGACAGACAGACAGACAACTCCCAATACGCCCGAAGACGGCGGCCGCGCGCGGGGCTGGGAGTGGGCGCCGGGGCGCCGGTCACTCAGCCTCCAGGTGTACAGTTGTCCAACTCGTTCCCACTCCTATGCGTTTCATGCAACTCTCATCCGACCACTTCCATCACAACTTTTTTTAAAGCTCTGCTGCGGTGAGATCGTCGGTCTACCTCCGCTTGGGTCTGCCCGTTGATCTTCGTGCTGGTTGCGCCTGTATCTTCGGATCCCACTGCAACGCTGCATTGCTCCATGTGTGTCTGTCTGGCGTAACAAATTGTCGTGCCATATTCAATTTGTGCCGTCGCTGCATAACCACCCACTCCTTGTACCCATGAACTTCCATGTGCTGCATGGCGTACTGTGTAGATCGCTGTGCCCATTCGCGTCAGGGCTCGAATTTGCCGGATTTGTAACTCGAGCTCGATGAGGTATTTGAGTCGGTACTGCTGCTGCTCGTCGAACTGATGTTAGAACTTTCAGTTTGATCTTCGCCGGGATCAGATACGTGGTCCCCCTCGCTGTCGTTCATCTGCGCACGACGTCTGGGCACTCGAAAAATGATACGAAGCATTTTTTCTGGGTGCTGCGTAATCCCACCAGCCATTTGGGCGTGAGTGGTTTAGGGCGCTTTCTCTGTTCTCAACCCCCCAACCCCCCTTCTTCCCCTTCGGGGAGGGGTTTACCCCTCCCCCTCCCCCCCCCCTGGACCTGGAGAGGGCGCCCCGCGGGTGGTCAGGGGGGTCCGTTTCGACGCCTGGGAGGGCCAAAAAACGACGACCCTCACGAGGATTCTGGCCCCGACGGGGGGATAGAGAAAAAACCCTCTCCTCTTCTGTGAAGCCAAAATCATGGATTTTACTAAGGTTTTGGCCCCATTTTGGCCTCCTCAGGGGGCAGCGCTCCTCGTCCTTGTTCTCAGAATCATTGATTTTACGAAGGTTTTGGGCTCATTTTGTCTTTCTCAGGGGGTAGCGCTCCTTTGCGCTTCTGAGGAGGGCGCAAGAGGCCCCCAAGAGGCCCCAAGATGTCCCCAGGAGGCTCCCAAGAGGCCTCCAAGAGGCCCTCAAGAGGCCCCCCAGAGGCCCCCAGAGGCTCCCAACAGGCTCCCAAGAGGCCCCCACGAGGCCCCCAGAGCCCCCAAGAGGCTCCCAAGAGGCCGCCAAGAGCTCCCCAAGAGGCCCCGAAGAGGCCCCAAGAGGCCCCCAAGAGGCCCCCAAGAGGCCCCACGAGGAGCCCGAACGACTCACACCAGGACGAGGGGCCCGAACGACTCACACCACGAAGAGCCCGAACGACTCACACCACAAGGAGGGGCCCGAACGACTCACACCAGGACGAGGCGCCCGAACGACTCACACCACGAGGAGCCCGAACGACTCACACCACGACGCGGGCCCCGAACGACTCACACCACGAGGAGCCCGAACGAGTCACACCAGGAGGAGGGGCCCGAACGACTCACACCAGGACGAGGGGCCCGAACAACTCACACCACGAGAAGCCCGAACGACTCACACCAGGACGAAGAGCCCGAACGACTCACACCACGAAGAGCCCGAACGACTCACACCAGGAAGAAGGGCCCGAACGACTCACACCAGGACGAGAAACCCCAAACGACTCAAATCACGAGGAGCGCTTTCTCTCCCTCCTCCTCCGCCTCGTCCTTCTCCCGCTCCCCCCACAAGGAGGATTCACAAGGAGGCGGGAGGAAGGAGGGACAGGGGAGATATACGGAGCCCAGCGGACACACGCCTGAAAAACACAACTGTCGACATGCTTCGCGAGAGCTGCTGCTGTGAGATGGGCTGGTGGGGATACGCGAAGCGTAAAGAATTGTTCTTCAAGGCTTGTTGTTTGAGTCCAACACGCAGATCCATAGGAAAATCGGGGTCACCGTTCCGTCGAACAGACGCAGCCGGTCGCGGAGAGAAACAGATCTGGACGTCAGCTCCGACTTGAAGATCCCAAACTTCTTCCAAGCGTCCTTGGTGCGCGCCTCGATTCCGACCTTCGCGGAATCAGAAAATGTGAGCAATCGCCCCAAGTATTTCTGAGTTCCGAGGGGGAGGAGGAGGAGGAGGAGGAGGAGGAGGAGAAAGAGTAGGAGGAGGAGGAGGAACAGGAAAAGGAGCAGGAGGACGAGGATGAGGAGGAGGAGAAGGATGAGGAGGAGGAGGAGGAAACGGAGGAAGGAGAAAAAGGAGGAGGAGGAACAGGAAGAGGAGGAGGAGGAGGAGGAGAAGGAGGATGAAGATGAGGGGGAGGGGGAGGGGGGGGGAGGGAGAGGGGAGGGGAAGGAAGAGGAGGAGGAGGAGGAGGAGGGAGGAAAAGGAGGAAGAGGGGAGGAGAGGTGGAGGAGGAGGGGAGGCGGAGGAACAGAAAGAGAAGAGGAGTGATGAAGAGGAGGAGGAGGGGAGGGGGGGAGGGAGGAGGAGGGGGGAAGGAAAAGGAGGAGGAGGAGGAGGAGGAGGGGAGGGGAGAGAGGAGAAGAAGAGGAGGAGGAGGAGGAGGAGGAGGAGGAGGAAGGCGGGAGGAGAGGAGGAGGAGGAGGAGGAGGAGGGGAGGAGGAGGAGGAGGAGGAGGAGGAGGAGAAGGGAGGATGGAGGGAGGGGGTAAGGAGGGAGGCAGGATGGGATAATGATGATGATGATGCTGCTGCTGCTGATGATGATGATGATGATGAATATGATGAATATGATGATGATGATGATGATGATGATGATGATGATGATGATGATGATGATGATGATGATGATGCTGATGCTGATGCTGATGCTGATGCTGATGCTGATGCTGATGCTGATGATGCTGCTGCTGATGATGCTGATGAAGATGACAATGCTGATGATGCTGATGATGATGACGATGATGCTGATGATGATGCTGGAGATGATGATGCTGCTGATGATGATGATGCTGCTGATGATGATGATGATGATGATGCTGATCAAGATGATGATAATGATGGTGGTGATGATGCTGCTGATGATGCTGCTGAAGATGCTGAGGATGAGGATGAGAAGAAAAAGGAGGATGAGGAGGAAGAGGAGGAGGAGGAGGAGGAGGAGGAGGAGGAGGAGGAGGAGGAGGAGGAGGAGGAGGAGGGAAGAGGAGGAGGAGGAGGAAAAGGAGGAGGAGGAGGAGGAGGAGGAGAAGAGCTCTGGCAATTCACACCCACGGGGGCTCACGCAGCACCACGGCCAGGACTAGCGTGATGAGCGTGATGAAGATGACGCCCACGTAGAGCAGGGCCTCCTCCCCGCCAGCCGGGGCGACCCTGCTCCCGCCGATGGCGTCCTGGCCCTCCGCGGCGGGCGCCGGCAACTGGGACAGGCCCAGGCTTACCACCGCACCCCCGGCAGCGGCCGCCGACCGCTGCGCAAGCTGCGGCACGAGGGTGTGGCTGCCCGCCCACAGCAGCGCCGCGCACAGCATGACAGCGACGAGGGGGGTGCTGCTGCGCGCTTTCGCGAACGACTGAGGCGCGAGGGGCGGAGGCAGATCGGACAAGCGCAGTGAGCGCTGAGGCTTGCCTTGAACCAACCTGGCTTGAGCCAAAATGGCTACGGAAGGAGGAGGAGTAGGAGGAAAAGGATGAGGGGGAGGAAAAACGGCGGCAGGAATAGGAGAAGCACAATGAGAAGGAGTGGAAGGAGGCGGCAGGAGGATGATGAGTGAAAGAAGGGGATGGATGAATATGCTGATGATGATGACGACGATGATGATGCTGATGATGATGATGATGGTGCTGATGATGTTGATGACGATGCTGGTGCTGGTGCTGGTGCTGATGATGATGATGCTGATGATGATGATGACGATAATGATGATGGTTGTGATGATGAGGGTGATGAAGATTATGGTGATGATGATGCTGATGCTGATGATAATGATGATGCTGATGGTAATGATGATGGTGGTATTGTTGGTTCTGATGGTGATAATGATGATGATTATGATGCTGATGATGCTGATGATGCTGATGATGATGAAAATGATGATGATGATGATGATGATGATGATGATGATGATGATGATGATGATGATGCGGACGCCTCCTGAGCGCGCGCGGGTGCTCAGTGCCGCAGCGCCGCCAGCGTTGCGTCGGCGCGCCACAGCACGACCATCGTGTTGATGCGCTCTGCGAGCGCGCGCGCCGTCGTGCCCTGGCGGCCGCCGTGCAGTCGGCGTCCGTGCAATTGCGACGCGGCCGCGAGCTCGGCGATGACCGTCGCTGCGCCCGCTGGACTCTACGGCAACGCTGCGGACGGTGTCGCCGTACTGGGCCGCCGCCGCGGCGCCTGCGACCTGGCTGGCAGTGGGCAGGGAGCTGCAGAAGGGCGTCCAAACAAGGGCGTCCAGACGTTGGCGTCCACCAACCACCGCTGAGCGGAGGCCGGGAAACTGAAGACAAGGTCCATGACTGCCTCGCAGATCGACCAGTCAGGTCTGCACTGATATAGCTCAGGGATCCGGCGCTCGATATTCACGACGGCCGCCGCGGAGTGCAGCTCGGCCTCGAGGCCGCGCACGGCGCCGGTGTGTGCTCGCAGGCGGATCGCGCTGCGGGGGCACGCCAGAGCGTGGGCGGCGCGGCGGCCAAGCGGCGCGACGCCGTCTCGCGTGGCCTCGCCAGCGTCGTCGACCGCAACAGCGCGCTGCAGCGGCATTGCCAGCTGGAAAATGCTGTTGCCCCTTCCCGCGTGCGATGGTGATGATGACGATGATGACGATGACGATGACGATGACGATGACGATGATGATGATGATGATGATGACGATGATGATGATGATGATGATGATGATGATGATGATGATGATGATGATGATGTTGATGCTGATGATGATGCTGATGCTGATGCTGATGCTGATTCTGATGATGATGATCATGATGATGGTGGTGATGATGACGACGATGATGATGGTGATTATGATGATGCTGTTGGTGGTGATGATAATTATGATGACGGTAATGCTGATGTTGCTGCTGATGCTGCTGATAATAATGCTGATGATGACGATGAGGAGGAGGTGGAAGAAGTAAGCGACGAGCTGGACGTGAAGGGCGAGGAGCAAGAGGATGAGGATAAGGAGGAGTAGGAGGAGGTGGAAGACGTAAGCGAGGAGCTGGAAGTGAAGGGCGGAGGAGGAAGACAAGGAGGACGAAGATGAGGACGACGATGCTGGCTGTTCCAGGGCTGCCGTCCCCCCCCCCCCCGGGTCCTCTGTGCCACCGCGGGGGCTGCGGCTCCTGCCGTGAGGGACGGAGAGACAGAAGTGGGGAAGGGGAGGGGGGCAGAAAGAGAGGTAGAGAGAAAGAGAGAGAGAGGTAGAGAAAGAGATAGGGAAGCAACATGGGGTAAACAACATGATGCATATACACGCATACACATGAGTCACACACATTTGCATACATGCGTATGCGTACTCAAGCATACATACATACATACATACATACGTACGTACGTACATACATACATACATCTATACATCTATACATCTATACATAACTACATACCTACATACCTACATACCTACACACCTACATACCTACATACCTACATACCTACATACACACATCCATCCATCCATCCATCCATCCATGCATGCATGCATGTATACATACATACATACATATATGCATACATACATACATGCATACATACACATATATGTGTACATATATATATATATATATATATGTATATACATACATATCCGCCATCGTGCCTTCACGGAGTGGGCGTGTTAGACTGCTCGCCTATGGCATGGATTTGTTGATGTTTCATTCTGGTCGAGCCCCCCTCGCCCACGCGTCGTTTCAAATTCACCCCGTCGTGGAATTGCTTTTTGACGCTCTTTTCAGCCCCCAAACGGCCAAGAAGGCCTCCAGGACGGCTTCTCAGACAACCAAGACGTCACCAAACCGGCTCTAGATGGCGCAAGATTGCTCGCGAAGGCTCCAAGAGGCCCTTTAGGAGAGCCCGAGGAGGCAAATTATTGATTTCCCTTAGCTGCTTCAGATATTTGGAGGTTCTCGCCCGTTTGTGCTTCAGGCCGCCCAAGACGGCCCAAGGGGCTTCCACGATAGTTCCCTGATCGCCCATGAGGCGCCAAAGAGAGCCCCGAGTCGACCCCAATTTCGTCAGAGACGCTCCCGAGAGGGCCCCAAGACGGCTCTAAAGCGCTCCAAGAGGGCACCAAGACGCCCCAGAGAGGCCCCCAAGACGGCCTCCGAATGCGTCCGACGGACCATTCGCCTCCCTGAAGTAGCCCAAGAGGCCCCAAGAGGCACTCACGAAGCCCCAGGGGCCCAAGAGGCCCCCCAGGAGGCCCCCATGAGGCTTCCAGGAGGCCACAAGAGGGTCCCAAGACGCTTTCACATCCTCGCCCCCTTTGTCTCCCTCTCCTCCTTTTTTTCTCCTCATTTTTTTCTCCTCCTCCACTTCCTCCTCCCTACCGCGCGGACGAGGACGATGTCGGGATCACGACCGTCCCCAACTAAGACCACTCGCTGAACTGCGGCCAGGTGTGAACTCGACCTCCTTCTTACCGAGCGGGAGAAGACGAAATCGAGTTTACGACCCGTCCTTATCATACCATTTGTCGGAATTGCGCTGTTCCTGCACCCAATCTCCTTCCTGCAACGCTGTTGTACAAACACGGTGGTGGGGTCTCCCGCAGACAGCTAGATACCAGATGTGTAGATGCGGACCCATATAACACGAGAGAGAAAGACACCCACAGTATTATCATCATGATTACCATTCGTATTATTCGTACTCTTATCTATACTGCGCAAAACCAGAGCACATGCACGACTATAAACATAGGCATATGTGTAGCTGCGCATTTACACGCCTGCACCTACGCGTGCATGTATCTGTACATACATGCACACAATCACATATAGAAACATATGTACATACACATTTACGTGCATGCGCAAGTTGGGACAACCAGAGGGGGAGAAAGAGAGAGAGAGAGAGAGATAGCACACATAGATATATGTACATACAGATATACACAAATGTATGCAACTGTGAAGGTCGACAGAGGAACGAGAGAGAGAGAGAGAGAGAGAGCGAGAGAGAGACAGAGAGAGAGAGAGAGAAGTCGAGAGGGAGAGGAGAGAGAGAGAGAGAGAGAGAGAGAGAGAGAGAGAGAACGAGCGAGAAAAGGGATTGACCAACCAATTGCGCTGGCACCATTTAGGTCATCCTGCCACTTCCACCCATCCCTTCCCGTTGCGCAAGGCTCATCTGTATCAATCGACTGGGTGGTGCCCTAAGAGACCGTGATCCCGATATTGACCTCGTCGTGTGGCGCGCAAAGAAGAACGCGGCGGGGAAGCTTTGTACATTGGGGGAGGAGGAGGTGGCGGACGAGCAGGAGGGAAGGGAAGCTCATGAGAAAAGGGCGAGGAGGATGAGGACGAGGAGGCTGACCACTGTACACCCAAGACGCATCAACGATGCTGCAACAATATGTCATTCCAAATTCCCTCTTCTTGGGTCCCAACAATCCTTTATTTTCCTTGCGCGGGGTGCCCCAGTGGAAGTCTGAGAATCCTCAATCATGCTAAACTGTAATTCCTGGCACTTCAATACCACGAATCAACGTGGCTGCTGCGTCCTGGCAATCGTCAACCGTGCCATAACACAATTCCTGGGATTTCGACGCTGGAATGAACGTGACTGTTACGTCTTGACAATCGTTAACCGTGGCAATGCACCATTCCTGGGACTTCGGCGCCGCGAATCAACGTGACTGTTGCGCCCTGGCAATCCTAAACCGTAGCAGAAAACCGTTCCTGGGACTTCAATCACACGAGCACTTCAACATATATTGTAAGCTGTTAAAGCGAATGTGCGCGGCGCTCAAGCGAGGGCCAGCCACATTTTGAAAATGGGTAGCCCACGAACCCTTGAAACGATCAAACAACTTTTAACACTAATGCGCGCGGCGCTGAGACGCGAACCACATGTTGAATCCTTGAACCATCTGCAGACTTCTAAGACGCGGTGCTACAGCGAGAGCAACGTCTTGAAAACGACCTCCCGTCCACCTCTACTACATGCTGCGAACTTTGATGACGAATGAGCGCGCGCGGCGCCAGTTCGAGAGCCACATTTCGAAAAGGAGCCGCACTGCATTCTTCAAGCTGTTGTAAACTTTGAGTCATGTAAGTGCACGCCGCTTAAACGAGAAACGCATTTTGAAAACCACCCGCCCTCCATCAGTGAAACGGGTGCAAATTTCAAGCTTCAGGATCATCAGTGGTGAGGCCCAGCCCGCCCTGCTGACACGTCTGCGGGTGCGAAATGTGAAGAGAAGGAAAACGGATGAAATAGAGGAGGAGGAGGAGGAGGAGGAGGAGGAGGAGGAGGAGGAGGAGGAGGAGGAGGAGGAGGAGGAGGAGGAGGAGGAGGAGGAGTACCGACAGCACTTGTAGGAACAGGCGGAGAAGGAGGCCCAGGGGGAAGGCAGAGGAGGGGAACAGAGAGGGGCGGCAACGACGAGGCAAGACTCGGATCTAGAAATATGGCACGTGCGGGGGCGAGAGCGCCATCCTGAACGGGAGCACAGTACCGATCCTGACATCTGGCCAACGAGTTAGCGAGAACACCAAGTGGAAGAGCCGAAAACGCTCCGATACAAAAAAAAACATCTACGACATATCAACATTTGAAATCCTGCGGACAAAAACCCGGCAACCCCCGCTTAACATATTTGCTGTTGGTGACCATCCAGACACACACAGATCAAAGGGCGATTCAGTTTATGGAGCCATCGGTGGAAATCCAAGTTACACCCTTTCAACAGCACATTTGGACAGGCGCCATCGCGCGACAAACGAGGGAAGGCACCAAGCACGGCAGAGGCACATAGTTCCGAGCGGTGCAGCGATCTGTGCACGAGATGACAGACAGCAGCGAGAGCCTTGGCAAGCCCGCCCAGGCCCCGAACTGTCATGCCAGCACGGTTGACATGTCTGTCTTGGCCCAACAGGCCCACAACGGCAGCGCTTCCTCCCGCGACTCCCGCCGAGCCAGCAGCGGCTCCGCCGGCGGCCGCAGGGGGCCGCTGGGGCGGGAGGAGGAGGAGGAGGAGGAGGAGGAGAAGGAGGAGGAAGAGGAAGAGGAGGAGGAGGAGGAGGAGGAGGAGGAGGAGGAGGAGGAGGAGGAGGAGGAGCAGCACTGCGGCAGACCTCCACGAGACTCTGCGCCGCGCGGACGGGGCCTGCTCGGCGGAGCGGCTGGGAAGCGACGCCTACCCGGCGAGGCAGAGCCAGAACCGGGCGGGCGCCTGAGCGCGAGCCGGAGCGCCAGCACCCCGCCTGGAGGCGCGCTGGAGGGTACTTATCGGGCAAGCTGCGCGGAACCATCGGTTCCGGGAGGTCGCCGGGAAGTGGCCCGAGGGCGCGGGGGAAGAGCAGGCGGTCAATGTCTCTCGCCAGCGGGCCACGGACTGAACGTCATGTCGCAGCCTGGGCGCGGGGCACCTTGCGGGTGCGGCCGTCGCCGCACTCTTAGGTGCAGCCCGCCTCGCTGGCCAAATGCAGGTCTGTAGGCGATTCGTTTTTCGCGGACGTAATCGGCGAAACCAGCACACACAAACCTACACTGATCGGCTGGCGCAGTCTAGGCTTGAACCGGCCAGATGCCTC